CTAACCCCATACTCTCCCTGTGCTCCCCCCACTCACTGCTCACTCACCCAGTCACTGTCGAAACACACTCTCATCAGAATGACTTGTCACTCTCACCACTCACCCTCCCCAATCGCTTTAACCACTGACAATCACCATTCACTCTCACAGCTCACATCTCATACCTCATACTCACCACTCACTCACTCTTCCAAAACACTCTTGCCATACACGACTCACTAACTCTTTCCACCTGCTCTGTCACCTCCCATTCTCACCTCACCACTCACTCTCAACTCGCCTCCGTGAAGGCGGAGGTATCTGCCCTCCGCCTATGCCTAACTCGTAACAGCTAGAGAGAAGAAGCTACCATTATGGGGTCAGTAGTGGGTTCGGACAGGCAGCAAGAAGCACCAGCGACGGTCAGCAGCGGGCAGCAGAGGGGGTCAGCAAGGAGCAGCAGCGCCAGTGAGCAGCGGAGGCGGTGAGAAGCGGCGGTGAGCAGGAAAGGTCAGTAGGGGCGGTAGCGCAGATCACCCCTGGAGGCACTCCTGTCAGCGGGCATGGTTCCCGGTGGGCCTGCCAGGTCGCCATATGCTGCACTGCTGTACTGCTGCAGGAGGGAGCACATGCCATCATGCCATCATGCCACCATGCCATCATGCCATCATGCCACCATGCCATCATGCCATCATGCCACCATGCCATCATGCCATCATGCCACCATGCCATCATGCCATCATGCCACCATGCCATCATGCCATCATGCCACCATGCCATCATGCCATCATGCCACCATGCCATCATGCCATCATGCCACCATGCCATCATGCCATCATGCCACCATGCCATCATGCCACCATGCCATCATGCCACCATGCCATCATGCCACCATGCCATCATGCCACCATGCCATCATGCCACCATGCCATCATGCCACCATGCCATCATGCCACCATGCCATCATGCCACCATGCCATCATGCCACCATGCCATCATGCCACCATGCCACCATGCCACCATGCCATCATGCCACCATGCCATCATGCCACCATGCCATCATGCCACCATGCCATCATGCCACCATGCCATCATGCCACCATGCCATCATGCCACCATGCCATCATGCCACCATGCCATCATGCCACCATGCCATCATGCCACCATGCCATCATGCCACCATGCCATCATGCCACCATGCCATCATGCCACCATGCCATCATGCCACCATGCCATCATGCCACCATGCCATCATGCCACCATGCCATCATGCCACCATGCCATCATGCCATCATGCCACCATGCCACCATGCCACCATGCCACCATGCCACCATGCCACCATGCCACCATGCCATCATGCCACCATGCCATCATGCCATCATGCCATCATGCCACCATGCCACCATGCCACCATGCCACCATGCCACCATGCCATCATGCCACCATGCCATCATGCCATCATGCCATCATGCCACCATGCCACCATGCCACCATGCCACCATGCCACCATGCCACCATGCCACCATGCCATCATGCCACCATGCCATCATGCCACCATGCCATCATGCCACCATGCCATCATGCCATCATCATGCCATCATGCCACCATGCCACCATGCCACCATGCCACCATGCCACCATGCCACCATGCCACCATGCCACCATGCCATCATGCCACCATGCCATCCATGCCACCATGCCACCATGCCACCATGCCACCATGCCACCATGCCACCATGCCACCATGCCACCATGCCACCATGCCACCATGCCACCATGCCATCCATGCCACCATGCCATCATGCCACCATGCCATCATGCCACCATGCCATCATGCCACCATGCCATCATGCCACCATGCCATCATGCCACCATGCCATCATGCCACCATGCCATCATGCCACCATGCCATCATGCCACCATGCCATCATGCCACCATGCCATCATGCCACCATGCCATCATGCCACCATGCCATCATGCCACCATGCCATCATGCCACCATGCCATCATGCCACCATGCCATCATGCCACCATGCCATCATGCCACCATGCCATCATGCCACCATGCCATCATGCCACCATGCCATCATGCCACCATGCCATCATGCCACCATGCCATCATGCCACCATGCCATCATGCCATGCCATCATGCCATCATGCCATCATGCCACCATGCCATCATGCCACCATGCCATCATGCCATCATGCCACCATGCCATCATGCCATCATGCCACCATGCCATCATGCCATCATGCCACCATGCCATCATGCCATCATGCCACCATGCCATCATGCCATCATGCCACCATGCCATCATGCCATCATGCCACCATGCCATCATGCCATCATGCCACCATGCCATCATGCCACCATGCCATCATGCCACCATGCCATCATGCCACCATGCCATCATGCCACCATGCCATCATGCCACCATGCCATCATGCCACCATGCCATCATGCCACCATGCCATCATGCCACCATGCCATCATGCCACCATGCCATCATGCCACCATGCCATCATGCCACCATGCCATCATGCCACCATGCCATCATGCCACCATGCCATCATGCCACCATGCCATCATGCCACCATGCCATCATGCCACCATGCCATCATGCCACCATGCCATCATGCCACCATGCCATCATGCCACCATGCCATCATGCCACCATGCCATCATGCCACCATGCCATCATGCCACCATGCCATCATGCCACCATGCCATCATGCCACCATGCCATCATGCCACCATGCCATCATGCCACCATGCCATCATGCCACCATGCCATCATGCCACCATGCCATCATGCCACCATGCCATCATGCCACCATGCCATCATGCCACCATGCCATCATGCCATCATGCCACCATGCCACCATGCCACCATGCCACCATGCCACCATGCCACCATGCCACCATGCCATCATGCCACCATGCCATCATGCCATCATGCCATCATGCCACCATGCCACCATGCCACCATGCCACCATGCCACCATGCCATCATGCCACCATGCCATCATGCCATCATGCCATCATGCCACCATGCCACCATGCCACCATGCCACCATGCCACCATGCCACCATGCCACCATGCCATCATGCCACCATGCCATCATGCCACCATGCCATCATGCCATGCCATCATGCCATCATGCCATCATGCCATCATGCCACCATGCCACCATGCCACCATGCCACCATGCCACCATGCCACCATGCCATCATGCCACCATGCCATCATGCCACCATGCCACCATGCCACCATGCCACCATGCCACCATGCCACCATGCCACCATGCCACCATGCCACCATGCCACCATGCCACCATGCCATCATGCCACCATGCCATCATGCCACCATGCCACCATGCCACCATGCCACCATGCCACCATGCCACCATGCCACCATGCCACCATGCCACCATGCCACCATGCCACCATGCCACCATGCCACCATGCCACCATGCCACCATGCCACCATGCCACCATGCCACCATGCCACCATGCCACCATGCCACCATGCCACCATGCCACCATGCCACCATGCCACCATGCCACCATGCCACCATGCCACCATGCCACCATGCCACCATGCCACCATGCCATCATGCCACCATGCCATCATGCCACCATGCCATCATGCCACCATGCCATCATGCCACCATGCCACCATGCCACCATGCCACCATGCCACCATGCCACCATGCCACCATGCCACCATGCCACCATGCCACCATGCCACCATGCCACCATGCCACCATGCCACCATGCCACCATGCCACCATGCCACCATGCCACCATGCCACCATGCCACCATGCCACCATGCCACCATGCCATCATGCCACCATGCCATCATGCCACCATGCCATCATGCCACCATGCCATCATGCCACCATGCCATCATGCCACCATGCCATCATGCCACCATGCCATCATGCCACCATGCCATCATGCCACCATGCCATCATGCCACCATGCCATCATGCCACCATGCCATCATGCCACCATGCCATCATGCCACCATGCCATCATGCCACCATGCCATCATGCCACCATGCCATCATGCCACCATGCCATCATGCCACCATGCCATCATGCCACCATGCCATCATGCCACCATGCCATCATGCCACCATGCCATCATGCCACCATGCCATCATGCCACCATCATGCCACCATGCCATCATGCCACCATGCCACCATGCCACCATGCCACCATGCCACCATGCCACCATGCCATCATGCCACCATGCCATCATGCCATCATGCCATCATGCCACCATGCCACCATGCCACCATGCCACCATGCCACCATGCCACCATGCCACCATGCCATCATGCCATCATGCCATCATGCCACCATGCCACCATGCCACCATGCCACCATGCCACCATGCCACCATGCCACCATGCCATCATGCCACCATGCCATCATGCCACCATGCCATCATGCCACCATGCCATCATGCCATCATGCCATCATGCCACCATGCCACCATGCCACCATGCCACCATGCCACCATGCCACCATGCCACCATGCCATCATGCCACCATGCCATCATGCCACCATGCCACCATGCCACCATGCCACCATGCCACCATGCCACCATGCCACCATGCCACCATGCCACCATGCCATCATGCCACCATGCCACCATGCCACCATGCCACCATGCCACCATGCCACCATGCCACCATGCCATCATGCCACCATGCCATCACGCCATCATGCCACCATGCCATCATGCCACCATGCCATCATGCCACCATGCCATCACGCCACCATGCCACCACGCCATCATGCCACCATGCCATCACGCCATCATGCCACCATGCCATCATGCCACCATGCCATCATGCCATCACGCCATCATGCCACCATGCCATCACGACATCATGCCACCATGCCATGCAGGAGAGGGCACAGAAGGAGAAGAAGAGTGGGTCCAGGCAGCACCATACATACACAAAATAAGCACCTTGATCAAACCACGACCAAGCCTTGATCAAACTCTCTGATATGCCGTGCTGGCACAGGACGACAACCAGCGCGGAGTCGCGGACACAGCATGGCAACCCCCAAGGCAAACACTCACCGCAGCTTGCCCGTAGTCAGCCCCAGGAGCAGGCGCCTGCCCATACGCCTGCTGCGCTGCTGCCATGTAATACCCCTGCGCTGCCGCCGCCGCTGCTGCTGCTCCCCCCGGGCTCCTGGGCCCTGAGGAGGCCCCCAAGGAGGGGTCGGAGGGGGCAGGGGCATAAGCGGAGGGCAGGTACGCGGCGGAGGAGGGGGGTGGCGGGGGAGCGCCTTCCTGTGGCGTTGCCCTCTCCACTGCCACCTGCCGTTGCACAGACGAGCAGTGGGGGGCGAGATGGAGGGAAGGGGTGGGAGGGAGAGGTTGGAGAGATGAGGCAGAGGCAGGGAGGGAGACAGTGGGAGGAACATACAGGAATGGGCGTGACAACAGACAAGCGAACGAGGATGTTTGGTGAATGAACAGAAAGCACAAGTGAAAGCCAGAAACAACGAACGGCAACGGAGAAAGAGAAATGCAGGGGGGGGGGGGGGGGGGCGGAGCGGGGGAGGGAGGGGAGAAAGGAGAGGAGGGGGAGAGAAGGGAGAGGGGAAGAGAAGGCACTGACGGTGCGGCCGCAGATCTCATGCTGCCTCTTGGCAACGAAGGCTGCCACCTCCTCCTCCAGGAACGTCACGAAGCAGAACCCCCTGTGCCCTCCCTTGGCCGAGTCCTGCATGCACCACGCCCCACGCACCACGCACCATGCACCATGCACCATGCACCACGCACCATGCACCATGCACCACGCACCACGCACCATGCACCACGCATCACGCACCACGCACCATGCACCATGCACCATGCACCATGCACCATGCACCACGCCCCACGCCCCACGCACCATGCACCATGCACCATGCACCACGCACCATGCACCACGCACCATGCACCATGCACCACGCACCATGCACCATGCGCCCGCCATGCGCCACACAGCACACAGCATGCCACGCACCATCCCACAGTGACACAAGATTTAGCTCAGTGCATCACAGCCGTGGCGAGCACCATGCGCACAGCATTGACACATTGCACAGCACACAATTCCATGGGAAGGCACTACCTTGGGCAGGTAAACGTCCTCCACAGGCCCAAACCGTCCGAAGTACTCGCGAATGTCCCCCACAGTGGCGTCATGCGGCAGCTTCCCCACAAATATCTTGGTCGGGTGCACCGCCCTGCCCCCGCCTCCCCCCCCATACCCCTGCCCGCCCGCCCCCCCATGCCCCTGCGGAGGAGGAGGCGCAGAAGCATAGGCGGGCTCCCTGGGCGCGCCATAGAGCATGGCGGGGGGGTAGGCGGGGTAGGCGGAGGCGAAGGCGGCCATGGGGGGCATGAAGTCGAAGGGCGACATGGGCAGCGCCATGGCCCCCGGGGGGTACGCGCGGAAAGGGCGCGCTGGGGACCCGCGGTACCCCCCTCCACCTCCGCCCCTTGGCCCCTCGTCCTGAGAGGCGCGCAGGGGAGGGGAGCAGACGGCAGGACAGGGGAGACCAAACAACGTTATCAGATGGCCGCTCAGCGCACGCAGCCCAGAAAAAGAACTGCTGGATAATCAAGCTACCCTAGTTAGTTTTCCGAGAATGCTCCAGGCCGCTCAGCCAACAAAGAAGCTTGTGCAAGCAAGAGGTTAGTAAGGTGAATGACAGGGAAAGTGTCAGACAAGGGAGGTACCTTGGGCGTGGCTCTGTCGATGGCGAGCGTGGCTCCATCCAACTCCCGCGGCTCTTCCAACACCTTGTCCACCGATGCTGCACACATGGCAACCAGACGGGGTGTGAGTGAGAAAAGAAACCCAGAATAGCACTGCGAAACAGCAACGCGGAATGACGGAGCGAAGCGCATTCAACTGCCGCATTCGTGAGCATTCGTGTTATGCAGGCAGAGCAATGGTACCTGCGTCATCAAAGGTCACAAAGCCGATGTTACGATGCGGGTTGGACCCGTGGCCCTGAGGAGGAGAGGGGATGAGCACCGAGCACAGAGCATCGAGAATGGAGCATGGAACACAGACAGAGCATGGGGCATGGAGCACCGATGTGGATCAGTCCAATGCAGGCCTGCATTGACAGGGTGAGAATGGGGCTACAGCGAGACAGCAAGAAGCTAGAGGGGGCCGTACCTTGGGCATGTAGCAGTCAGTCACATTGCCAAACGCTCCGAAGTACCTGCAGCAGCGGAGCAGAGAAGCAGGGCATGGCAGCAGGTGGTTGCGGGGGCACGTGTTGAAGAACCAACAATAGATTCCGCGCTGCAGAAGTAGGAGAAAGGTAACCAATGGCTCAATGGCACGCAGCAGCATAGCACGTTACCTCTTGAATCTGTCTTCTGTGACGGTGGTGGGCACGCGCGCGACGAATATGCGCGACACCTTGGGGCCCTTGGACATCTCCTCCTGCCCGCACACACCACACACGCGCATCAGTGCCCTTTCCTTTGGAAACGAAGCGGAAGTGCGTGACAATGGCGACGGTAGGTGAGATGATGGGTTGGTAGCTTGGCTGGGTTGGTTGGATGGTTGCGGACGGACCTTGGGCGTGGCGGTCTTGACTTCCAGCTGCCGGCCTCCCAGGGTGTGCTTCATCTGCGCCACGCTCTGATGCACACAGAGCCCACGGCAACAGCAACGGCATTCACCATGGCACGAATTTCAAAATTCGGGAAATAGAGTTATGACAGAGAAAGAGTGCAATGTTCGGATAGATTTTGACGAGCGACAGGCGATCTGGTCTATTCGATTCGAACGTGCTCCACGGAAGCCGGCAATGAAACCGCCGGGCATCATGTGGAATGCTGCTCACCTGCGCGTCTGCGAGGAGGCTGAAAGTGACGTAGCCAAACCCTCGAGACCGCCCAGTGCTCCGATCCTGCACCAACAAACAGAAGGATATCATAACACCAGATCCAAACACTTCACAATACTCAAGTGTAAAAAGAAACTGAATGCGGTTGCGAACCTTGAGCACGATGACGTCATCGAGCGCGCCGAACTTCTCCATGTATTCGCGGAGGCCCTCCGTGTCCATGCTGTACGGTATGCCCAGCACCTGCACGCACCCACGCACCCGCCACGCGTCAGCCAAACCCTAACCAGATCCGCCACGGACCAGGAACGCAGAGCGATCAAGAACGCAGGGCGAGAGAAATGCAGGGAGATAAGGAACGCAGAACGATCGGAAACAAAGACACGTTTCTGGTGAGACTCACAACGAGCTTTCTTGACACGGTGTCCTGCGAAGCCATCTTCGCTGTCCCCCTCCTTAACGAGCCACGAAATGTAACCTCTTTAACGAGGATAGGCGCTCGAGGTGAAGCTCAGCTGAGACCTCGCGATCTGGCGACTCCCTGAACTCAGCTACGCTCGACTCGCCTCGTCTCGCCTCGTCTCACTCCGCTTCCTCTTCTCAGCTCAGCTCAGCTTAGCTAAGCTTCGCTCAACTCCGCTTATCTCGCCTCCGCGGTCTCTGTCGCGAGTCCTCTCCGCACACCTCTCCGCTCGCCTCACGCGACGTCTCAACACTCTCGCCTTGCCTGCAAGAAAGGAATCCCATGGCGGCAATTAAGTTACCTGACAACAGAACAGCTCAACTGGCGATAAAATGCTCACAAGCGACGAGTCATCATACTTTGCAACGAAGAACGGAAAACGCGGAAGCCTCACAACTCAAGAAGATCGGCTCAGCCTCGCAGAATCCCTTCGCTCAGTAACGCTCTGATCTCAGTGGTATCAGTCGCAATCACGCGCTAACGGATCGACTCGACGTCGCCTCGTCCAGCTTAAAGCTGAAGTATACATTTGTCGGCAGGGTTCAGGGTTTAGGGAGTGCGCCCCACAGGTTTGGGGCAACTTTTCAAATTTCAAAAGATTTTGAACCCCTCCTTTCAAATGTATACCGGAGCTTTAAAGTCGGCGTGGAAGGCGGAGATGAGGGAAGATCAGAACCAGGTAGCGAGAAGAGCAACTCCCAAGAAATAGGTCTCTGAACAGATGATCTCGAGATTGCCAAGAACGACTGGGGAGCGATGGCGTAGGAGTGGAAAGCTTATTGCTGGTATATCCGCGAGAGCGAGAAGAGGTGTACTGAACCACGTAATTTGAAAAACCTCACTTCCATGTTATATTCACAATTTGAGTTCTCGATAATCCCCCTTTTTTGTGCAATGCATCCAGCTTTAACAACGTATTTCTTTTACATTCATCAGTCTGTCGCTTTACCTTGATCTCCTTCATTTCCTTGCCAAGCCACAATTTCTTGAAACTGTTCTTTACCATAAAATACAATTCTAGGGGAAACAACTCACATAATAACAATGCCTCTCAACAAATCAAGTAGCTAGAAACCTACATATCCTAGAACGAATAAATGGTTACACCAAAGCCCTTTCAATGCCTTGGGTGGGAACCCAACATGTTCACCATCTCAAAGTTAGCGAACAACGGAATGATTGGAATAGAAACGAATGGGGTACAAATGAGCAACCCTAGAAGCTGTACCCCCTAGAGTGCAACTCACTATAGCCTATCATATCAATGTTCAACATTTGACACACCCCCATAGGCTAAGTGAGGGGCATCAAAGCAAGCAAGGTGAACAAACGGTCACAAGACCAGTCAAAGCAAGAACCAAGGCAAGCTCAGGGTGGATCTCAAGGACACCACACAAATTCCGAGCGCAAGCAAGCGGCCACAAGGCCAGTTCAAGAGTTCATTAGGATATAAATACAAAGCACAACAAGCAGAGCAAGCAACAGGACTACACCAACCGAGGGCCTACCTCAACAAGCCCCAACTGCACACAGAACCTGTGGTGGTCACCAAGCGCCAAGGCCTTGGTGAAGACGTCTGCAGTGTTGGCCTCTGAGGCCACAAAGTCCAGGCGTGCCTGACCGCGTCGCTGCAGCTCTCGCAGGAGGAAGTACCTCACGTCAATATGCTTCACTCTGCTCTCCAGTCGAGGCTCTCGACACAGGAGGATCATGGCCTTGTTGTCAGCGTACAAGGTCGGTGCAGAGCGAGGCCGCTCACCAAGGTCAGCGAGCAAGAAGGTCAACCAGCGAAGCTCTTGTGCCGCCATGGCACCAGCGTAGATCTCTGCCTCTGCACTGGAAGCAGCCACAGACGACGACCGTGTAGACCTCCACGACACAGCACTAGCTCCCAGACTGAAGCAGTAACCCTGAGTCGAACGTTGAGTCTCCACGTCGTTAGCGTAGGAAGAGTCGCAGTGACCAGTCAACGCCACTGGCTGAGTCCCTCCAAGCACAAGCCCCAAGCCTGATGTAGTCGCCAGGTACTTCGCCACCCTCACAGCAGCTGTCCAGTGGACAGGGCGGTGTCTCCCAGTCGCAACAAAGCGAGAAAGGATGCTGAGTGGAAAGGCGAGGTCCGGCCGAGTACAAGTCATCAGGTACATGAGGCAGCCCACCAGCTCTGCGTAGGGTCCACTGGACTCAAAGGGCTCGTCAGGAAAGGGGCCCGTGAGTCTGTGGTCAACAGCAAGAGGAGTGGGCTGTGTGGTGGAGAACTGGAAGTGGAACCGCCGAAGGACCTGCTGCACCATGTGTGACTGCGTCAGTGTGATGGTGCGAGCGGCTCTGTCCCGGGTGATCTGCAGGCCAAGGTAGCGCTGCAGCTCACCCAGGTCAGTGCACTTGTGTCTCTTCTGCAGTTCGGACTTCACCTGAGCCAGGGCTGCCCTGTCTGCTGTAGCAAACACCAAGTCGTCGACGTAGACAAGGATAAAGAAAGGAGTAGAACCCGCTCGAACAAACAGCGACGGGTCGGCGGAGGACGGGCTGAACCCAAGGTCACGAAGCGTGGAGCGAAGAGTGTCGTGCCACTCACGGGGCGACTGGCGGAGACCGTAGACTGGTCGCCTCAGGCTCCACTGGGTCCCAGGTGGGAAGGTGTCAGTGAAGCCAGGAGGACGGCGCAGCCAGATCTCCTCGTGCAGTCGGCCCTGGAGGAACGCAGTGGAGAAGTCGAGGGAGTGCAGCTCGTAGTCTCGCTGCGCTGCTATGTGGAGTAACACCCGAAGAGTAGTCATCTTCGGGGTCGGGGCGAAGGTCTGGAAGAAGTCAACTCCCTCACGCTGACTGAAACCCCTAGCCACGTAGCGCGCCTTGAACACCGGCGGTGCTCCAGGCGGCCGCTTCACCTTGAAGAGCCACATGCCATCGACTACGTTCGCCCTGGGAGGGGGAACTGCGTCGACGTAGGTGCCTGTGGATCTCCAAGACGCGAACTCTGAGTCCATAGCCGCTTTCCACTGAGAGGCCCACGCCCCTGACACTGCCTCGCGGTAAGTGCGAGGAGTCGGTATGTCAAGGGCGTCGGGGTCTCCCTCAGGGGAGAGCAGCATGGCACACACAGAGGGAGAAGCGGCTGCCCAGTACTTCAGCTCGGACTCTCTGTCCTCTAGGACGTCACAGCCAAGGGCAAACCCACCCCCGACGGACAGAGGACGGTAGGGAGGAGCTGGCACCACACGGGTGGCGTAGTCAAGGCGGCTGGCGGCAGCAAACTCAGCGACAGCGGCAGTGAGAGCCGAGACAGACGACGGAGGGAAACGAGGGTCGGTGACAAGAGTGGTGAGGACACGAGCGCCAACAGGACGAAGAGCGCGGTAGTAGTCAGAGATAGGAGTGGGGAGGGCAGGTAGAGAGGACGGAGGAGGAGACGGGAGAACGGACACAGGAGAAGGAGAACGACGACGAGACGAACAAAGGAGGGCAGTGTGGAGGTCAGTAACAGGGGACGAGTGACGAGCACGCGGAGGACAACGAGTGATCAAGTCGCGACGGACAGAGGGAGGAGGAGACTGAGGAGGAGGAGAAGACCAGACCGCCGGACGGTCGTCAGGAGGAGGCAACGGAGGAACAAACACAGGAAGAGACTGGGAGCGGACAGGAGGAGAGGAGGAAAGGCCAAGGGCCCGCAGGCCACTCACAGGTGGGAACAACCGCCGCTCTAGAGGAAGCTGCGGTGGCGGCTGCGGCCGCTGCGGCTGCGGCTGCGGCTGCTGCTGCTGCTGCTGCGGCTGTGGCTGCGGCTGCGGCTGCGGCTGCGGCTGCTGCTGTTGCTGCTGCTGCTGCTGCTGCTGCTGCTGCTGCTGCCGCTGCTGCTCCAGAAGGTCCAGCACCCGCAGCTCCTGCCGCTCCCTCTCCAACCGCTCCTGCTCCTCACGCTCACGCCGACGGGCAGCCTGGAGACGCGTGTCGTGGCGGTGGGGGGGCGGGGTGGACTCCGCAGAACCAGGGTCTCCAGCGTCAGTCTCCTCAGACTCAGCACCCCCAGAACCAGTACCGCCAGTGCCAGGACCTCCAACTCCAGCACCCCCAGAACTAGCACCGCTAGTGCCAGCACCCCCAACTCCAGCACCCCCAGAACCAGCGTCACTTGCGCCAGCACCTCCAGCTCCAGTACCCCGCGACCGAGCACCCCCAGACCGAGCACCGCCAGCGACTGCACCTCCAGCTCCAACACCAACCGAGTCCACAGTAACCTGTCGCGGAAGTGCCGAAGGCTGCTGAGGGGACTGTGAGGAGGACTGCGGGGAGGGAGACGCTACCTGACGCGCGACCGAGGGGAGAGGGGTAGCGTGGGACACACCAGACGGGGCAGGACCAGGGGGGGGCGGGGGTACCGGAGGAGCGGGAGCAGGAGGAGGAGAGGGTGCAAGGAAGAGAGGGGGAGGGGGTACCGGGAGACCTCGACAGGGGTACCGGGTGTAGTAGGACACGGACTCGTCAAACCGGACGTCACGGGAATCTAGGAACTGGTGGAGGGGAGGGTGGTAAAAGGACCAGTCAGCAGAGTCCACTGGGAAACCAAGGAAGACACAGGGGACGGCGCGTGCCGAGAGCTTGTCCGCGGAGGTGTCGCGAACAAGTGCAAGGCAGCCCCAGACTCGAAAGGCCGACCCAACACCAGGGGATCCAGTCCAGAGACTGGTCGGTGAAGCCTCGGGCCGCGAGACACGCGGCTGGAGGTTCAGCTGGTGTGCGGCGTAGCGAACCGCGTGAGGCCACAGAAAATGGGGCGCACGGGCATGAATCATGGACGTGCGGGCGATGTCCATGACCAAGCCTATGCGGCGCTCAGCAACCCCATTCTGCTGTGGGGACTCTGGCAGCGTCCAGGACTGGGTGATGCCCTGTTCGCCGCAGAATCCGCCGAGAATGCCGGAGCGAAACTCGCCCCCACGGTCGGAGTGAAGACAACTGACTCGACGACCACGAGTGCCCTCAGTGGCTAGAAGCCACCTGATCAGCGTAGCAGTCACCTCGGACTTCTTTGCAAGAGGAAACACTGTGGTGTACCTGGAGAAGTCGTCGACGACCACCAGAAAGTAGCGCTCCCTCCCAGACCCCTGCGTCGGGGCAGGGCCCCAGACGTCCAAGTGGAGAGTCTCGAAGGGAGCGGTGGCCGGACGAAGGGAGGAGGAGTGGGGAGTGGCACGTAAGCGACCGGACTGGACACAGCCACCTGACCGGACTCTGCTACCGGGGGGGACGAAGCAACCTGACCAGACGCAGCTACCTGCGGGGGCGGAGTGTGCAGGACGAAGAGACCTGAGTGGGGCTCTCTGGTGAACGTGGCAAGAACTGCCCCGGTGGAAGAGTCCGTACAGATCGCAGTCCTCCCGTGCGCAGGAAAAGTGACTGTGATCCCCCGGTCCTGAAGGTATCCAACACCCACCAAGTTCCGAGAGAACGAGGGGATGTAGAGACCAGTGAAGAAACCAGAGGGGACAGCCGGGCACGGGAGGGTGGTCGAGCTACGAGCAACTGCTGGTCCTGAAGTAGGATCAGCCAGGGCAACTGGGACTGGAGCCGAAAGAGGTGTGACAGTGGTGTGGTCGCGGAAGAAACACTGAGACGCGCCGGAGTCCAGCGTGAAGGAGAGCGACGCAACAGCAGTCGTCACGGCTGGGCTAGTGACTACACAAGCACCTACACTAAAAGCACAAGTACCGACACTAGCAATAGGCAAAGGTCCTAAGCTAGGTACACGTAAGCCAAGAGATCCGTACGTGACAGAATAAACAGCATCCATAGACATATCAAACACAGGGAAACCACTACGAAACAGACCGGGCCAGATCGGGGGAGCCGACTCAGGCCCAAAACGGTCACGGTAAAGGTCGTCGAGGCGGCTGTAGCAGCGCTGTGCAGAGTGGTCAGGACGCCAGCAGGTAGTGCCAGCACCAGGGCCGGTCAGGATCCGGTACTGGCAGGGGCCGACGTCGCGGCCACCGCGACGAGCCCCCCAGCTGGCTGGGCCGCTGCTGCAGCCAACGCGACCTGAACCACCAGGCCCCCATGGCTGCTGAGGGCGCCACAGCTGCTGAGGGCGCCCCTGCCGCTGCGGAAGCCACTGCTGAAAAGGCCGCTGCTGCTGTCCCTGCTGCTGGAGAACCCTAGTGGACTCCATGATAAAAGCTAGCGGGGTGCAGGAGCGGCAGGCTAGGAGCGACAGGAGCGACAGGCTGCTGTGAAAAACGAGAACAACTAGGAGCGCAAGGTGAAACCAGGCGAGTAACTGCTGGAGCACGGAGCGAACTAAGCTAGGAGCGCCAGGTGAAACCAGGCGAGTAACTGCTGGAGCACGGAGCGAACTAAGCTAGGAGCGCCAGGTGAAACTAGGCGAGGAACGGCTGGAGCACGGAGCAAACTGAGCTAGAAGCGCCAGGTGAAACTAGGCGAGGAACGGCCGGAGCACGGAGCAAACTGAGCTACGAGCGAGGAGCGAGAACGGCTGGAGCGAGAACGGCTGGAGCTAGAAGCGGCGAGCTAGGGCTGGCTGGAGGTAGGAACGGCCGGGGCTAGAGACCGTAAGTGCGGCTGTCGGCTGCCGCTAGTAGAGCCACTGGCAGTGGAAAGTACGTGCGACAGTAGGGGCTGCAGTACTGACGGCTGCGGGATGTAGGCAACTGTGCAGGTCGTCCGGCAAGCAGGAACGCGGGCGACAGTCGCAGGCCCCCACTGTGAACCCCCTTTTTTTTTTTTTTTTTTTTTTTTTTAGGGTTTAATTTATTTATTTATTTTCTGGCACTAAAGCACCCCGGGGCGCGCTGCCTGCAGGGTGTGCTGCCTGCGGGGCGCGCTACCCGCGGGGCGCGCCTCCTGCGGGGCGCGCTACCCGCGGGGCGCGCCTCCTGCGGGGCGCGCTACCCGCGGGGCGCGCTACCCGCGTGGCGCGCTGCCTGCGGGGCTGGGGTGACGAGCCAGGGAGGGCGCCTGGGCGACGGGCTAGGACGGGCGCCTGGGCGACGGGCTAGGACGGGCGCCTGGGCGACGGGCTAGGGCGCAGGCCTGGGCGACGGGCTAGGACGGGCGCCTGGGCGACGGGCTAGGGCGCAGGCCTGGGCGACGGGCTAGGGCGGGCGCCTGGGCGACGGGCTAGGGCGGGCGCCTGGGCGACGGGCTAGGGCGGGCGCCTGGGCGACGGGCTAGGGCGGGCGCCTGGGCGACGGGCTAGGGCGGGCGCCTGGGCGACGGGCTAGGGCGGGCGCCTGGGCGACGGGCTAGGGCGGGCGCCTGGGCGACGGGCTAGGGCGGGCGCCTGGGCGACGGGCTAGGGCGTGGGCCTGGGCGACGGGCTAGGGGCGCAGGCTAGGGGCGCGGAGGGCGCTAACGCGCGGAGGAGGAGGGCGCTAAGGCGCGGAGATGGCGCGGAGGGCGCGGTGGCTAAGGCGCGGAGGGCGCGGAGGGCGCGGAGGGTGCTAGGGCGCAAGGGCGCGGAGGGCGCGGAGGGCGCGGAGTGTGCTAGGGCGCAAGGGCGCGGAGGGCGCTAGGGCGCGAGCTAGGCTAGGCTAGGCGAGAGGATCGACACCTACTCATGATACCATCTCAAAGTTAGCGAACAACGGAATGATTGGAATAGAAACGAATGGGGTACAAATGAGCAACCCTAGAAGCTGTACCCCCTAGAGTGCAACTCACTATAGCCTATCATATCAATGTTCAACATTTGACACACCACTCCATCTCATTGTGGCTAATGATCATTCCCATCACATGAAGAAACAGTGCTTCCATAATTGATACGAAAACTGAACCGTCTCCAGGTCCACTCAGTGGGAGAATCCGCACTCCTGGACTTCTCTGTGAACTCGACTAGCCCAGAGCGGTGCACCGCCACCACTATGCAGCTGCGCGTTCCATACGCCCCCTGGTGTGGGTGAGAGGGGTCAGTGAGACGAAGAGTGAAATTGGAGGGCAGAGGAGAACGCATATGAGACAGAATAAAGCACAGACGGGATTATTAATTTGGTGAAAGACAATATGGCACCACCGGACCCACGAGCTGGTTCGGACAGCAGAGAAACAGATTGCACAAAAGGGCATGACAGGATAGAAAACAAATGGCCAGCAGTGTACCTTGGGAGTGTCACAGTTGACAAAGACAGGTGTCAGCCTCTGATCATACTCCGGCCCCATAGGGCAGTGCTCTGCCTCAGCCACGTCAGCACTGGTGTGAGGGTGCACAGGCTGCCACGCGTCCATGAGCACTCTCTCTATAATCACCTCTGCCGGCACCTCGCCCCCCTTACTCTCCTCCAGCAGCTCTGCTAAGTGCTCCTTGGCTCGCTCCACCTGCCAGAGAGGAGTGTTACGAGCCGAAGAGGAGAGGCCAGGCGGTTGGATAAGGAAACGGGGGTGTGGGAAGAAAGGGGGGGAAGGTGCATCAGGGCACGAGAACACATGTGATGTGAGAGATTCGTTCACCCAAATTCATTGCTCTGGGCTGCGACTCCATCGCTCCGCTCTCTCCCTTGACATTGACCCACTCATCCCCTCTGGTCCTACCTTGCTCCAGGGAGTGTCGAGAGCCGCATTGCTGAGTCCATGCAGCCCTCTCTCCACGCGCATCACGCCACAAGCCGCCGCCCCATCCCCCTCCTCCCCACCTCCATCCGCGCCTCTGCTTGCGCTACACCCGTCGTGGTGCGGGGCGTTGGTCAGGTAGTACATGCGCACATGCGCGGAGGGGCTCCTGCTGGCTTCCTCCCCACATGCGCCCTCTGCGCCTCCCCCCTCTGTGTTTGCGCGCCCCTGCTTCCGCTCCTGGTCCTCCGCTGCTGCCGCATCCGCGCTGTGCCTGCTCTCGTCAAATGCCACGTCAGCAGCAACGAGGTTGAACCCGTTGAAGAGGTGCGCGCGCCGCGCCACCGACTCCAGGTACTCCCGCGGACCCCCTGCGCCTTCCGCGCCCTCGTCGTCCCCCGCGCCCTCCGCGCCTTCGGCGCCGTCCGCGCGCCACGCGCCCTGGAGGAAGTCGGAGATGAGGGCGCCGCGGCTGACAGCGTCGGCGCGATTGCGGACGGCCCAGCAGTTGGAGAGGAACGCGACGCGCCCGCCCGTGCTCGCGCCCAGCCACGTGCCCCCGCACTGCAGGTCGCGCCCCGCCAGCACGCGCGGGTCGTCGCGCCAATAGTGCGCGGGGTCCGTGGGCCTGGCGGGGGATGGGGAGGGGGGAGGCGGCGGGGGATGGGGAGGGGGGAGGCGGCGAGGGATGGGGGGAAATAGGAAGAAGGTGGGAGCAGGGGAAAAGAGGAGAGCGGGAGCGGGATTGAGAAACAAGAAAGTTGTTCGCGAGGGGAGCCTGCGTGAGGCCGGGCGACGCCGAAGGGGAGTGAGACATTAGGCGACGGTGGGCGACGGTGGGCGACGGTGAGCGACGGTGGCGACGGTGGCGAGGGTGGCGAGGAAACGCGACGCACCTAGCGAGGAGCTCGTCGCGGTTGGAGGCGAGGAGCAGCGCGTAGAGCGGATGGCCGTCCAGCACCCACACCGACAGACACATGCTGCCGCGGGGCTTCGCGTGGCGAGTGGCTCGGTGTGGCGCGTGCTCGGATACGGCGTGTGCTCGGATACGGCGTGTGCTCGGATACGGCGTGTGCTCGGATACGGCGTGTGCTCGGATACGGCGCGTGCTCGGATACGGCGTGTGCTCGGATACGGCGTGTGCTCGGATACGGCGTGTGCTCGGATACGGCGTGTGCTCGGATACGGCGCGTGCTCGGATACGGCGTGTGCTCGGATACGGCGTGTGCTCGGATACGACGCGTGGCTCGATAAGGAATGCACGTTGGTCGTACAGGAGTGACTCAAGTGCGCGGCGATGGGTTGCTCGTCCGTGTGACTCTCAACGGGTGCGAAGGGATTCACAAGTAAAGGAACGAATAGAGTTGCACTGGTGTGAAACAAGAAAAATAAACAAGAAATCTGGTCGGTCTTTTGAATGGCGCCTGCTCTGGGCCTCTGAGCTGCTTGGGGAATGACGGGCTGCGGGTTAGGCACACCGAAGGTGTCAGTCGTGCGACGGCAAGCGACGGTGCGACGTAACTTTCGCGCCGCAATGCGATGCTGCTGGTTGACACGTCATGTTGAGTCAGCACGGACTCCTGTTCCTCCCAAGTGCAAGGTGCGTTTCAGTGATTGTGGCAGCAACATAACGCTCCAATTATGGAACTTCTGAATCCACATAGCAAAAGAAAATAAAACATACACTGATATGTAAAGGCTTTACCAACGTCTCAAACAAATCTGATGGCGTGATGGCACTTTTCCCATTTAATGCGTTATCTACACACCATAATAAATAAGCATCCATACTATACAACACTACATAAAGCATGTCCCAAACTTGGCTCTCACGTATACCTATCAAATAATATCTAAAACTCAGTTATATATACAAGGCTATAGTGAGATGGATGATATAGGGCACATCACTTCTTGTGCTTGGTCCAAGTGAACGCTTGGTCCGAGAGAGCGCTCGGTCCAAGTGAACCATTCAAAGTGGATCAAACGCACGCTTGGCTTGGACCAAGAGCGCGATTGCTCCAAATGCACGCTTGGTCCAAGTGACGCCTGGTCCGCGCGCGCGCCTCGTCCGCACGCGCGTCTGGTCTGCGCACGCGCCTGGTCTGCACGCATGCGCGCTTGGTCCTAGTCCGCGCGCGCGCCTGGTCTGCGTGCACACGCGTGTGAGAATAGTAGAACGAGGATGGATGAACTATGAATGAAGTGAGTACATATGGGAAACCCTAATTGGGTTGTACCCCCTATGGGATACCCCACTATAGCCTACACAACAGTATAAGCTATATATATGTTCTGACACACCCCCATAGGCAAAGTGGGGGAGAACAAGGGGTCACAAGACCAGTCAAGCAAAGCAGAGCAAGCTCAGGGTGGATCACAAAGTCACCACACAGTCCGAGCACAACGACAGGGCAACAGGGCCAGTTCACATGCAGGAGTACACATATATATATAGAGCTAGACAAGCAAGAGCAGGTATATATATGTGACAGTACAAGCAAGGTCAAGAAGAGAGCAAGTGAGGCAAGACAGGTACAAGACCCAGCTGGGTGCAGAAGCGCTGATGGTCACAAGGCGCAAGTGCCTTGGTGAACACATCAGCAGTGTTGGCCTCAGAGGCCACGTACGCAAGTCGCAACTGACCACGCTGCTGCAGCTCACGAGCAAGAAAGTAACGGAGAGCAATGTGCTTCGTTCTGTGCTCCAAGCGCTGCTCTCGACACAAGGCCAGCATGGCCTTGTTGTCTACGTACAACACTGGAGGAGAACGAGGCGGCTCTCCAAGGTCAGTCAGCAGGTAGGTGAGCCAGCGAAGCTCCTGTGCAGCCATGGCCCCGGCGTAGATCTCAGCCTCACAACTGGAGCTGAGAACAGAGGACGAGCGAGTAGCCCGCCACGAGACAGAGCCGGAACCGAGACTGAAGGTGTAACCCTGCGACGACCGCTGTGTAGCCTGGTCGTCTGCCCAAGAAGCGTCCGCGTGCCCAGTGAGGACCACTGGACTCCGCCCTCCAAGCACTAGCCCCATGCCCGACGTACTGCACAAGTAGCGCAACACCCTCTTCGCTGCAGCCATGTGCTCTGGTCGGTGTCTCCCAGGAGCAACATAGCGTGAAAGAATGCTAAGAGGGTATGCAAGGTCAGGTCGTGTGCAGGTCATCAGGTACATGAGGCAGCCAACAAGCTCTGGGTACGGGCCACTCGACTCTACGGACTCATCCGAAGGCAGAGCTGAGAGCGAGTGGCGAGTAGACAGAGGAGTGGCCTGAGGCGAGGAGTACGTGAAGCCGAAGCGCTGAAGGACCTGCTGCACCATGTGTGACTGAGTCAAGGTAATGGTGCGGCGTGCTCTGTCCCGAGTGATCTGCAAGCCAAGGTAGCTGCGCAGTTCACCGAGGTCTGTGCACGTGTGTCTCTTCTGCAGCTCGGACTTCACGTAGGCTAGTCCAGCAGTGTCAGCTGTGGCAAAGACCAAGTCGTCGACGTACACGAGGACGTAGAACGGCGGCAAAGAAGTGTCGGTGCGCAGAAACAACGACGGGTCAGCAGTAGAGGGAGCAAACCCAAGAGCCGCAAGCGTAGTCCTCAGTGTGTCGTGCCACTCACGCGGTGCCTGGCGGAGACCGTAGACTGGCCGTCGGAGGCTCCACTGGGTGCCAGGAGGAAAAGTCCCAGTGAAGCCAGGTGGACGGCGCAGCCAGATCTCCTCGTGCAGGCTACCCTGCAAGAAAGCAGTACTGAAGTCAAGAGAGTGGAGCTCGTAGTCGCGCTGAGCGGCTATGTGCAGCAGCACCCGAAGAGTGGTCATCTTCGGGGTGGGAGAGAAGGTCTGAAAGTAGTCAACTCCCTGCCGCTGACTGAAGCCACGAGCGACGTACCGCGCCTTGAAGACAGGTGGAGAGCCCGGCGGCCGCTTCACCCTGAAGATCCACATGCCACTGACGATGTTCGCCCCAGGAGGGGGAACCGCGTCAACGTAGGTGCCTGTGGACTTCCAGGACGCCATCTCTGCATCCATAGCTGCCTGCCACTGAGAGGAGTAGGGACCCTCTACGGCCTCCGCGTAAGAGCGCGGAGTCGGGATGTCTAGTGCATCCGGGTCTCCCTCAGGGGCAAGTAGTACGGACGCGAGATGAGGTGAAGCAGCAGCCAGACACCTGAACTCCTCCTGCCTGTCCTCAAGGACGTCCGTGCCAAGAGCACACTCACCCCCGACGGACGGAGGACAGACAGACGCAGACTCAGCAACAAGACCGGCAGCGTAGTCTAGACGACAGCGAGCAGCAAAGTCGACGAGCTCAGCAACAAGCGCAGACGCAGCAGTGGACTCAAAAGAGGGGTCAGTGACGACAGTAGCAAGGAGACGTGTGACAGCAGGACTGGCAGCACGAAGAGAGTCCGACTCCGGGTCAGGAAGAGCAGGAAGAGAGGACTCAGGAGGAGAAGGCAAAGGGGCACGCAGAGGAGCAGTGGACGGACGCAGAGACATCCGGTGCGTGCCAGGGACAGGAGGAGGACGCTGACGCGAACCACGACCACTAGTGCGAGCAGCACGGACAGGCGACGCAGGGCGAGACGCAGGCTCACGACGCTCAGCAAGACCTCCAGTAGGACCAGTGTAGGGAGAAGGAGCGGGCAGTGGGGAGGCCGGCTGTAACTGTAACTGTGACAGAACAGGCTGTGGACACTCTAAGGGAGGAGGAGGACCAGTAGAAGGCGGGAGACCAAGAACCTGCTGAAGGAGCGGAACGAAGTACGGTCTAGGCCGCGCGACGACTCCAGACACAGCAGGGACAGCACCAGTACCCCCAGCGGCAGCACCAGCGCCAGTAGCACCTCCAGCTCCAGGACCTCCAGCAGCACCAGTAGCACCCCCAGCAGGACCGCCTCCAGGACCGACAGCAGTAGCCTCAGCACCAACGCCCTCAGCAGCTCCAGCTCCAGCACCTCCGGGACCCGCGGCACCAGCACCCTCAGTAGCCGAAGAACCTCCAGCTCCAGCAGCACGCCTCCAGCGCCGGGCAAACCACTCGCGCAGCTCCTGTGGAGAGAGGGGCTCCCGCCGAGGCGAAGCACCCGGAGAACCGCCAGGTCCCGCACCGCCAGACGCCACAAGGGGAGGTCCAGTGGCCGCAGGCTCCGCAGCTCCAGGCTCAGCACCTCCAGACGCAGCACCCCCTGGCTCAGCACCCCCAGTAGCAGCACCCCACGGCTCAGCACCCCCAGACTCCGCACCCCCAGGCTCAGCACCCCCAGTCGCAGCACCCCCAGGCTCAGCACTCCCAGACTCCGCACCCCCAGGCTCAGCACCCCCAGTCGCAGTACCCCCAGGCTCAGCACCCCCAGACTCAGCACCCCCAGGCTCAGCACCCGCAGCAGGACCAGAGTCACCAGCAACCTCGACCGGCTCGACTGCGTCTACCTGGGACACACCTGAAGGGGCAGGACCCTGAGGGGGAAGGGGGTCTACCGGGGGGGGACCTGGCACAAGGAAGTGCGGTGGCGGGGGGAGGGAAGGAGTGCGGTAGGGGAAGAGGCGGTAGAAGGGGACTGACTCGTCGAACGTGACGTCCTGGGAGGACAGAACACGACGAGAGGAGGGGTGGTAGAACTGCCACCCTGGAGCGTCAGGGGGGAAGCCGAGGAAGACACAGGGAGCAGCACGAGGGGACAGCTTGTCCGCAGACAAGTCGCGGACAAACGCCCGAGATCCCCAGACACGGAACGCAGACGCATCGCCGACCTTCCCCGTCCACAGCAGAGCTGGGGAGGTCTCCGGCCGGGAGACCCTGGGGTGAAGGTTGATCTGATGCGCCGCGTACCGAACCGCAAACGGCCACAGAAAATGGGGGGCAGCCGCATGCATCATGGACGTACGAGCGACGTCCATGACCATGCCAATGCGGCGCTCAGCAATCCCATTTTGCTGTGGAGAGTCCGGAAGCGTAAAGGTCTGGCGGATGCCTCGTGCACGAC